AGTGATGACTTCTCTGGGGAACACTCTCTGGCACGTTTTGTCTGCATACCACTAGGACCTGCTTGTGGCTCACTGCTTGTTTTTCTCACTAAAAACCTGTCTAGTGACACTTGTTTTTCCCCACTTTGTAACACTTGTCTGAAGTGAGACATCACATTGTCATTAAAAAGGTTAACACAATGACCTACTATAGCTTGCTCTGAGTGAATTAATAACTTTTTCAACATCCTCAAGTGTTTGTGTTCTTTGTCTCATGATTGTTGATACACATTTTGCCACTTTAGCACTCATAATGTCCGTTTTCTTAGCAATTACAGTGCATATCGTTGACAGATTTATTGTAGTGCCTAGCTTGTTCAACAACCCATGTACCATTTACATGTTTACGAATGGTCTCTCTTGTTTTTCCCCTATGGTCATTCTCACATGTGTTTTCTTGGCTTGAACCTTACCACTAGCTTTCTTGGGACCCATGGCAAGATATATAATAATAACTTTTATGTTTAAATACCCCAAAATCCGAAAAACTTTGAAATTCTTTACAAAGAATTCAGGCGCGATTGTCACTAGGCGGGAGGCACTGGTAAACTGAGGTGCGGTCACCACGCCACCACCTGGTCCAAACCCGGCTGTTTACCTGAGGCTCTGCCTTTTTCAAATTGCTCCTGTGGAGTACCTTGCTGGTTCTGCCTTCTCCAATCTTCATGTTTGGAGCGTGTGATACATGTTTATCGCCATCTGTATGGTGATCAGGTGGCTGGTTTGTTGGTGCCCACCTTCGGTCTTCCTCTTGGGGACAGTATGAAGTCTCCTTGTGTTCTTTTCTCCATTTCCTCTCCCTTTGTCATTCCTCTTCAATGTTTGTTTCAGTTGTTCTGTTTTCCTTTCTTGTTTTTTCTTGATTGGCATCTTATGTTGAATATTCTCGCCTCGTATCGTGCACTGGTGGCAGAGCCGCTTCAGCTTGCGGGATTGAGACTTCATTACTTTCAGCGCTGTGTTTTGGTCATCAAAATGCTAAAGTGTTTAAGTACACTTAAATGATCACCATCAAGTCAGGTGAGTGGTGATTGATATTGTAAAATGTATAAGAGAAAAATAAAGCAATATTTGAGGTTGAAAACTGTTACACAGATGGAATGGGTAAGTTGTTCTTAGTGAACTTGTAGCAGAGTGGATAGTGGGTAATTGAGATGTGTTAGATCATCAAACTTTGACTTTTCCCAAAATTATGGATTCAGTTTGGAGAACACATCATGGAAAAGGTGAGGAAGAGGTTCAGAATTCACTGGGGAAAGCATCTGTGGAAGCAGGGATAGCTCGTAATAGTCAGTTTGCTTTATTTTCTTTTTAAGAAAGTATCAGACAGCTAGTCTTCTGTTACCCCCAATCCCCTCTCCCAGCCCCTTTTTATTTATTGTTGATATTAGGGGCCAGAAATATAGCTTTGTATCGAGTCAAATGGATAGTGAGTAACCTTACACTCTTTTGTCTATTACATCTTCTGCTCCCAAATTTGCTTATGTTTATTGAACTTGTGTGTTGCTTCAACATTGTTTTTCTGGGGGGAGCCCCTATGGCTCCCCGGAGCTATCCATGGCTGATATGGATACCCTAACTATTTTGCATCAGTCGATGTGGGTGGAGTTCTAGGCCTACCGGGGACCACGAGCCAGAACCTGGCCCCCTCAGAGAGGCACGGGGAGCAATGGCCCATAGAAATGCACATGTGATTTGGAGCATTCTATATCTGCCATCGACCGGGACAGGCACCCAGAAAGGTAAGCGCCACAAAACAAACCCCTATTCTGGTTAACCACAAAAAAATCGACAAACGGGTGGACAGAACTCCCCCAGGAAAATGAATTAACAAGCATGACGTCACACGAGCCACGCAGCATGTCTGCGCAGCTCCCCCCTCCCCAGGAGGGGGAAGGGGGAGCCCCAGACCCCCGCGCCGGCGATCCCCGCCTCAGTTCCTCGGCTGATGGGATAACGCACGGTCGTGTGGCTCCAGCTCCAGTCTTGTCTCAGTGCTGTGACTTCTTTGCAGTGCTGCTCTTACGGTGGTCGTGTGAGCTGGGAGTAGTATTCTCAGGTACTCGGGCTGCATGTGCTTAGGGTCACCTTCCCTGAGTGCCCTGTAAATACCGCCCTTGGGGCGTGGGGTTGCCTTCCACAAGTCACCTTGGGTCTACCTCTGTTGGCTTTTCGCTGCTTGGCGTTTGGCCGCCCCGAGGGTTTGGGGGTTTTACTCCCTTGTTTGCCTTGGGGTAAGTGGTAGTTATAGCACTGGTGGGGCGCGGGGTACTGCGTAGCTAGTTTTCACCTATGACAGTGGCCGGCTCTGTTCCCTCTGGGTACGTTGTCCACTTGTGTGGTTTTTCTTTTATATTTGTTTTTGCCTGGTAGGGGGGTCTGCCTTGTGTCCCCCCCCCCTTATATTAAGTTCGTTTGTGTGGTGGCACCCCTTCTTCTCCCTCGCGAGTGGACACGTCCCGTGGGTTCAGCTGTAGCAGTTTGCTTGGTAGTTTGGGGCGCCGGTTAGCAGTGCCCTGCCTGGGATAACCCTTAGCAGACCCAGTCTAGGGGCCCTGGGAACCCCCCCGGAGGCTCTCGGGTCCAATAGTGGAGACCCTTGCGTCCCCTCTCGCTTTGTGCGAGTTGAGGGTTGCTCTGTCCCTTGTCTCAGGGTGACTCTCCTTGTTTTTGCCTCCGCCATGCTGCCTGTTGGGTCGGTGACACATTCGACCCTGAGTCCTGCGAGCTTTGTTGCTTGTTCGTGACTCCATTCGCCCAGTCTACTGATGAATTCCCGTGGGTGCAGGCAGCTCGCGCGTTGCAGGGTAGGATGTTGCAATGCGCTCTGGTTTGTCACTTCCCCGGACGCCCCGATGCTGCCCCGCTTGTGTAGGGACCCAGACTTGGGAGTTTTGGTCGCTTCGGCCTTGGTTCTTCCACGCCCCCCTTGTTTTTCCCCCTCCTGCTTCCGGCCCCTACGCATCTGCAGGCTTCGGGGTCGGGGCGGGGTTAGAGGTTCTGAGACTTGGGCAGTTTCGGGGGTTGCCCCGTCCGGGGTAGCTGCGGAGGCATTTGAGTCTGTTCCTCCGGCCAATGCTCCGGGGTCTGACCAGTGGGCCCCTTCTCTTTCAGCTCTCTCGGCTGCCCCGGCCTTTTCTTGTGGGGCCGGGGCTTTGGAGGTCGACTCGGCCCCGGGGCCTGGTGCAGAGGCTCCTGGGGTTGGGGAGGAGCGGCTTTGGGGGCCTTGGGCTCCATTGCGCCCCGCCTGGATTTCCGTCCTTCTGAGCGGGGCTTACTTTTGCGAGGAGTGGGGTTTTCTTTCCCCCCTCTGCGTACGATTTGGGCTTGGGTTCTGCTCCTCCCCGGGTTCGGTTCCGTGTCCCTGTGGTTTCTTTGGTTCCGTCTTCAGGAGGTTTTCGGCTAACTGCATCTCTTCACGTGCGGTGCGGTTGGCCTTTGCGGCTTACCTCTTGCGTGTCCCGGAGTTTGCCTCCATACTGGTTCCTTCTGTTCTGGACAGGTTGGGCTCCTTGTAGCCGTTTGGGCTCCTTGTAGCCGTTTGGGCTCCTTGTAGCCGTTTGGGCTCCTTGTAGCCATTTGGGCTCCTTTGTAGCCGTTTGGGCTCCTTGTAGCCATTTGGGCTCCTTTGTCGCCGTTTGGGCTCCTTGTAGCTGGTTGGGCTACTTCTCGCCTGGTTGGGCTACTTCGCGCCTGGTTGGGCTACTTCGCGCCTGGTTGGGCTACTTCGCGCCTGGTTGGGCTACTTCGCGCCTGGTTGGGCTACTTCGCGCCTGGTTGGGCTACTTCTCGCCTTGTTGGGCTACTTTCTTTCGCGTCCTGCGCATTCGCCGTGGGAGTTTCTTTTGGTTCCGGGCGGTGTGCACACGTGTTCTGCTTCCATTTCTCTCGGGGGGCTTCGCCTCTCGCTCTTTTCTTAATCCAATCCGTGCCCCGTTGCTTTGGGGGTGTTCTCGGGTGCCGCTGTGGGGAAATCATGAGGTTTTTCCCTGCGTTCTAGGGGTGGGGAGCCTCCTTCGCTGCTCCCCTCTCCAGCATGGGCGCACTGGCCGCCGCCGGCGGATACTGACTCGAATGCTTGCGTCATGGCCCTTCAGAGCCTATGTTCTGCAGGTGAGTTGGTGCGGTTTTGGCGTCTCCTTCGTCCTGACGCTGTTTTTGTTTTTGGGAGTAGGAATGGGTGTACATACGTACTTGAGAACGTGGACCGTATCACCCGAGGTGCCTACTGCAGGGCTATTAGCCCATACTGGGCAGCTCTTGCTCTCTCCACCTGATTCCTTCCTCGGTTCACGGGTGTCTGCGGGTGGCCTCTTGTCCCTTCAGAGGCGATTCCTGCCTGTACTCCTCCTGCCCCTCTCCTATGCTTGTCTAACCTTGCTTGAGTTCGGGGACCCGCCTCCACCTTGTTCCGCGGTGCAACGGTGGGGGTGCCTGTTTGGTAGTACATTTTCCTGTTTTGGAGATTTTGTGTTCGCCTCCTTGTGCTTGCAGGTTGGGTTCTGGCTTTGTTTCCGCCTCTCCCCTGTCGTTTGCCTGTCGGGCGGATTCTGTACTTCATGGGCGCTCTCATCTCTGCTCTTGGGGCTGTGATTGGGGTCAGCCCATGTTGGGCTGCCTAATGTGTTCCTTTGATTGCCTGTTACACTGCACACGTTTCTTCTACCGTCCCTGTGGCTCAGTTGGGTGCTTGGTTTCCGCCTGTGTCCCCTTGTGTGCCACTCGTGTACGATTTATCTATCTTCTCTGTCGCTTCCTCGGGGAGTGTGATGACGTTTTGCTGCGGTTTTGGTTCTGCAGCTGCGTGTCAGGGTTGGTTGTGGCGTTATGTTCGGCCCTTCCGTGCTCCCTCTGGGGCTCTCCTTCCTTGCCGGTCTGGCTGTGCCGGTCCTGGTTTTTCCATGTTCCTTGAATTCTCTGTCTTGTCCTCGCCTCATTGTGCTGGCTGGGGATGAGCTTGGGGTCTTCGTCTCGCCCCTCGCCTATCCTCCGGTTTCGGTTCAAGTTCCAGAGCCTAGTGGGCTCTCTTCCTTCGTGTTTTTCACGGCTGCCCCGGGGTTTTTCTTGACGCTGGGGCTTTGAGGGGACAGCTCGGCCCCGGGGCCTGCAGGGTGGGTTCCCGGGGCTGGGGTGGGGCTCACGTGAGGGGCCTTAGGCCCCGTTGGTCCCTGCTGGGGTGTTTCAACCCCTCTGGGAGGGACTTGCAGCTTTGTGGTGTGGGGTTTTCCGTTCCCCCTCTCCGCACGTGCTTTGTGGGCGTCGGCCCCTCACTGGGCTCGGTTTCCTTGTCCATTGTGCCCGTTGTTTCCGTCCTGTTGGTGGATGCTTTTCTACGATCTTCGCCCCTTTTTTCCGGGACGGGCCTCTCCGTCATGTCCCCCTCTTCTTGGGGTTTCCGCATGACTTTTGGTCTCGGGTGCGACGGGGTTTTGGTGCCTTCATCCTTTGTGTTTGCTTCTTTTTGTTCTCGAAGGTTCGGGACGGTTTTGCTCCTTCTCGTTTTCTGGTTCGTCTGTCGTCATTCGGTTGAGCTTCCCTACGGTCCTTTCTAGGGCTTGTGGGTCCTCTTCCCAGCAGCTTCTGGGTGTTGGCCCTTTTTGTTCTTTTGTGAATATCTCTTCTCTTCACACTGTCTCGGCGCTACTAGTTTTCCTGCGAGCGATTTTGTTCCTCTTAACGAGTCTTTTCGCTCCTGCCCTTCTGCAGGATGTTGGTGCGGGGCGGCTCCTTATGCGAGTTCCTTCCCTGTCAGCTGCACTTGTGGAGGTGGACTTGCACACTTGTGGCATTTTCGTTTTGGTCCTGCGTTTTCTTTTCCCTCCTGGGGCTGTCATAGGATTGGCTTGCGAAGACCTCCGGCCTGCTTATGCACTGCCTGTGTCGTCCTGGTCTTTGGACAGGGTGCTCTCCTGTTTTTCTTCTCCTTGGTGGTTGTGGCTCCTTGGAGTTAGGTTTGCTTTGCCTCGGTTTTCTTTTTGTGTTGGCATTCACCTCTGGGGGTTGTGTCAGAGCTTCTTGCTCTTCTCAGGTGCAGTGGTTTTTGGCTCCTATGGTCGTGGTCATAGGTTTCTTCGTCTGCAGCCGTTCTCCCTTTTTTCTGGCGAATGATATACTGTACCTTGGGTTATTGTCTCGACTTCGTGTTGAGGAGTGATTCCCCGACCGCCTCCCGGGTATGTCCTCTTGTTTTCTTAGGTAGCCTTTGGTGAGGTTGCTCCAGGGAGCCGTAGGGGCTCCCCCCAGAAAACCAGCGTTGAATGTACTGAAACGCCATTTTCTGGGCGAGTCCCTGAGGCTCCCCAGCACCCTCCCGCCCTCCGATCGGCGGGTTTTTTCGCGGTTTTGATATCCAGCCTCAGAACTGGGGCGGGGATCGCTGGCGCGTGGGTCTGGGGCTCCCCCTTCCCCCTCCCGGGGAGGGGGGAGCTGCGCAGACATGCGGCGTGGCTCGTGTGACGTCATGCTTGTTAGTTCATTTTCCTGGGGGAGTTCTGGCTCGTGGTCCCCGGTAGGCCTAGAACTCCACCCACATCGACTGATGCAAAATAGTTAGGGTATCCATATCAGCCATGGATAGCTCCGGGGAGCCTCCGGGACTCACCCAGAAAATGGCGTTTCATTACATTCAACACTGGTTTTTTCAGAAGCCAATAATTATTGTCAGGTAGGTCTATGTAAAACAGTCAGACTTCTTTTTTATTATATTAGTTGTAGTCTACATATATTTAATTTTACTTTTATTTATTTGATTTACTGTACTGTGTTTATTGGAGTGCATTCTTTCCATCAATATAATCTTCCAGTCATACAAGGGGTGGGGGGAGGGGTTGTGTTCCAAGAACCACAGAAATATCCGCAGACAACCCGTTCTCGCAAATTCGTAAAGTCAATATTGACTTATTAACTACGTGCATAGGTGATATACTAAACATAATACTAAACATAACCTATACCTATTATAGGTTAGGTAATAATTGTAATTACGAAGCAATAAGATGCTTATCTTAAGATACTAACAAGAGGGCTGTTATGTCCCAAGCATTTTAGATATTAAAGTGATGCCACTGTTTAACAATAGAACCATATAGTATTTGAAGAGCAATTAGATTAATATGCATTTCGGTACACTTAAAAATTAGGACACTTATTTAATAGCTTCTTACTTTACAACAATTTCCAGGAGCTTACAAGTACAGCATTGCAAGATGATCTTCCTTCTAAGTTAAGAGGATCCCCACAAAAAGTAGCAGGATATACTTGCAAGGATGTAACGTCATGCAAAGCTATGGAATCCCCACGCAAGCAAGTCTATGGCATCGCCACGCAAGACTATGGCATCGCCACGCAAGACTATGGCATCGCCACGCAAGCTATGGCATCGCCACGCAAGACTATGGCATCGCCACACAAGGCTATGGCATCCCCACTGTAGCATCCCCACGCAAGACTATCGCATCGCCTCGCAAGACCGTGGCAGTTCCATGCAAAATTATGGAATCTACTTGCAGAACTATGGAATCTCCATCTAAACCTAAGAAATCTCCTGCAAAGAAGATGAAATTAAGCAATGAACCGTCTCCGCCAAAGAGAGGCCTTTGTCCACCTCTTGTAGTTATTTTAGAGGATGTGGAAAGTTTTCCTGCAAATATTCTTCATGACCTCATCCTTATCTGTAGGTATGTATACTGTATGTCAGTAAGTATTGACTGCATGAGAGACCTTTCCTGAGCTTTCAGATTTGTAACCCTCCCTAAAGTAAGGTCCTGTGTCCTTTAACAGGAGTCTGCTACAGTCAGGCAGGAGAACATATTGACACTGATGCCACAGGAAAGTTTATAAATGGTCTCATCAAGGTTATTATAGCTTGTAGGGAGTTATGGGATAATACTCATTCCAGTCCAGAATGACTGACAGAGGTCACTTCATAAAAAACTTGAGGCCCTTGGGAACTTTAACTTAGGATTATTGGTGTTCTTGCTGGTTACCAGTTGGTCAGCCTGGCACCATACCCTGAGCACCATGAGGCCCCACCACCATAATCACCTTTGGCTGCCCTGATGTAAGTCATCTCACTCACTTTCTAACTGTTGTCCCTTTTGCAGTTGGCAGGCCAGGACTGGGTTTTCAGTCAAGTTTCACATTTTTTCGGATGTCAGGGGACACTGCACCCGAGTGCCGGGGGGAAACTGCACCCGAGTGTCGGGGGGAAACCACACCCGAGTGTTGGGGAAACTGCACCCGAGTGTTGGGGAAACCACACCCGAGTGTCGGGAAAACCCGCACCCAAGTGTCAGAGGAAACAGCACCCGAGGGCTGGGAAAAAACCGTGCCCTAGTGTCGGGAAAACTGTACCAGAGTATCAGGAATTTTAGTGCGCACCAAACACTGCAATTTTGTAGTCAAGATGTCCATGGTATTGTATGTATAGTGCCCATTCTGCTGTTATTTTATAGAACAGTGTTTCCTCTTCTGATATCAACCTATTTAGTGCTTCAGGTCTGTGCCACAACCCCAGACCTTCCTCTATTTTGATAGTGGGGGTGGGGGCCGGTCTTGATCCTGGTTGGGTATTTTATTGCAGTGTCTTGAGGGTGTGTTCTAGGTTCTGGAGTGAGTATTATGTTTTCCACAGTTAGATACCCCGGATGTCCATGTGAGGTTCCCAGTTCCTCTTCATGATGCATTTCTGGCCTCCTGTTGGGGATTCCTCCAGATGTTTTTACCTTGATTCCCTAGCTGGGTACTCCAGTTGAGTCCTCCCGGAGGTCTTTCTAGGCTACTCAGGTGTGTTTCCTGTTTTTTCAGGTTTCTAGTCTGGACCTCTGGGGGATGGGTGCCTGGTTGTCGGGTGTACCCTTGGTGCCTATTTGAATTTAACATTTTCCCTTGTGTGTGTTTCTTGACTTTACCCATGGGTAATACTTTACTTTGGCTTTTCTAATGAGTGCTATGTCCTGCAGCAGTTCTCTGATTATCTTGAGCAAGAATTTTGTCATTATCAGGAGGGAAATTTTCCATTCTGAGTGGCTCCTTGATTACTTCCATTCCCACCCTGTTGGTCTCGGATTTCCAAAGCATTCTTCGGTGTCTCGAGATTTATGTGAAGACGCACTGGCTCTCAAACCTAGTAGTGGTGACTTTACTGCCAGCAGGTGGCAGTCGGGTAACAGCTACTTTTCTCATTAGTTAGCAGATCTATAAATGGTATTCTTATGTATCCAGTTATTATTGGGAGATGACTGTTTGGAGGTGCCATTAAGCTATTGAAGCTTAATGGCAACATCAGTATTCAAACAGACACAAAATGCAAATTATCATGATGATAACATCAGTTCTGTAGACAATTTTCATGTGATGAGCGTATTACTGTAACCCTTAGACCGCGCAATACATACATATATGATTTGACAAAAAATAATTTAACATAAGTTTTTAAAACTTGCACAAACACTTTCCAATTTTTTTTGCATAATCAAATAGGCAAATGTTCCAACTTTGTCTAAATGATCACAGCGTAACTTGAAAAACAAGAGAATCAAAATTAATTTTAAAATTGAATATTGGAAACTTCAGATTTTCAATTCAGAATAAAAAATATGAACTATCACCAATTGTTCATTTAATGTTATTATTCTCTCAAAATAGCATATGATCTTCATTTTCATCAAATTAGTATATAGTTTTTCAGTATACGGTAGTTAACTGTAAAAATAAATCGTCAATAGGGCATTTGAAATATGCGGCACATTTTGACCAAAAAACCAGCGTTGAATGTAATGAAACGCCATTTTCTGGGCGAGTCCCGGAGGCTCCCCGGAGCTTACTAGGCTGATATGCAAATGTCAAGACTTTGGCATAAGTCATGTGTATGGAGTTCTTATGGGCCTACCGGGGACCACGAGCCAGAACCTGGCCCCCTCTAGAGAGACAAGGGGAGCAATGGCCTATAGAAACCCCCCGTGTAATTGGAAGCATTCTATGTCTGCCATTGACCGGGTTAGGCACCCAGAAAGGTAGGTGTCCCAAAACAAACCCCTATTCTGGTGAAAATTGCAACCAAAAGCCGAATGTGTGGATAGAACTCCCCAAACAAAAACGAGCAAACTAGTATGACGTCATTCGTCATCGCGCAGCTGTCTGCGCAGCCCCCCTCCCCGGGAGGGGGAAGGGGGAGCCCCAGACCTACCGCGCCGGCGATCCACACCCCAGGTCTGAGGCTGGATGTCAAAAACACGCGAGAAAACCGCCGACCGGAGGGAGGGAGGGATGCCGGGGAGCCTCTGGGACTCGGCCAGAAAATGCCGTTTCATTACATTCAACGCTGGTTTTCTGGGGGGAGTCCCTACGGCTCCCCAGAGCTAACTACCCACAGAGGAAAGAATAGGGACTTACCCGGGAGGCGGTTGCTGCTCACTCCTCAACCCGAAGTCGAGACAACTGGCTGCATCCGCCGACCCAAAGCGACACAGGCCCGACCAGGCCCAGGAACGTTTACAAGGTAACGAGCAGCCAGGACCCTGTTCGACCGCCAAAATCCCCGTGCCCAAATGTCAGCCCAAAGACGGCGGCAAGAGCCGTGAACTTGCGGACGTCATGGGCACAGGGATAGACCGCAGGCTGGCTAGCCTTAATAACCCTGCAGACGACCTGGGAGACCCGCACCCTCGAACAGGGAAGAAGGGAAACTGGATCAACCCAAAGCGCGTCCATGGACACAGAAGCTGTGGCGCGCAAATAACGGCGGAGAGCCGCAACCGGACACAAAACATGATGCACCCGCAGCCGTACCAACCAACCATCAACAACCCAAGGGCCCCTCCGGAATTCAGCAGTCTCATTCTTCGCCAGAAAAGAAGGAGAAGGCTGCAGACTTACAAAACGATCACCCCGACTGAAGGAGCAGAAACCTCTGCGCCGGAGGAGAGCATGAAGCTCACTCACCCAACCCCCAGAGGCCAATGCCAACAGGAAAAGAGCCTTCGTAAAACAATCCGGAACCAAGGGGGCCACAACAAAACGAGGAGAAGAAAGAAAAGAGAGCACCCTGTCCAAAGACCAGGACGGCTCAGGCGGCGCATGAGCAGGCCGGAGGTGAATCAACGCCCGAGACAGCTTGCGAAATGGCGCAGACGTGACATCAATACCGAAAGCAAGTTGAAGCGGCTCCGCCAGCGGCGCACGATATGTGGCGACAGTGTTAGGCATAAGAAGACGGTCCTGGAACAACCAAGAGAGAAAGGACAACACCACCCTAACAGAAAGGGAAGTACAACATCGAAGACGTAAGAAGAACCGGAAGGACCGCCAGGAAACTTCATACTGCCGCCGAGACGAAGCCCGCAGGTGGGACACTAATAAGGAAGCCACCTGATCACCATAGAGATGATGATAAACTTGAGTAAAAAATACCATAAGTGAAGACTCGAGGAGAAGATCGAACCAGCCACATGAAGTATCGGGCCAATCTGTTGGAAGAGGCGGAGCCGCAGAAAAACCTCCGGATCTGGACACAGAGCAAGCAGCGCCTGAAACCACGGCTGGGCCGGCCACCAAGGGGCCAAGAGGACAACTCTCCCCTGGTAAGTCTCTGAGAGTCAGGACCTGGAGCAACAGCTGAACCGGGAGAAAGAGGTACAGGAACCCCCACCTCGACCAGTCCTGCTGAAAGGCGTCGACCCCGACGGCCTCGAAGTCGGGAAAGGGCGCCACATACAGGGGAAGGCACCGCGACCACGCCGACGCGAAGAGGTCCACCTCGGGGCGGCTGAACGTCTGGCAAAGCCAACGGAAGGAGTCGGCATCGACCGTCCATTCCTTGGAGAGGGGAACGAAACGAGACAGGCCGTCGGCCAAGACGTTGGACACAACCCGCAAGTGAATTGCCAGGAGAGCCAAACCCCGAGAACTCAGCAGACGAGTCAACAGAAGTGACCAGCGCCAAAGACCCCCCCCACCCGGTTCAGACAATGAACAACTGGGAAACAGTCCAAATGGAGCCGGATCGCCGACCCTCGGGCGACTCGAATCCTCCAAAGAGCAAACCACACCGCCACGAACTCCTGCACAGTGCTGTGGGCCCGATGGAAGAACGGACCCCACCGACCCTGGCCGGCACAGTGAGCACTGGTCACAAAGCCCCAGCCGAGAGACGATGTGTCCGTGAACACATAGAGCGAGGGCTCGGGTAGGCGCCATGGCACTGAACCCCGAAAAACCCGAAGAGGAAGCCGGTGACGCAGCAACCGACGCAAAGCCCCCAGGGTCCGAACCCAGCGATCGCGAGAGAGGCGGAAGGGACGTCCCTGAAGGAACCAGAACAGCCGACGAAGCCAAACCTGACCCAGTGGGTAGACCAGCATCGTGAAGTTCAGGCTCCCGCACAGACCCTCGAGCCCCCCCAGAAACAGGCACAAGCGGGACCACAGCTGCAGAAGAGACTCCGGAGGAAGAGACAAGGAAGCGGTCCAAGAGTCCCACACAAGGCCCAGCCAGGTCCGAACCTGGGAGGGAACCAGATGGGACTTCCTCCAGTTCACCAAGAACCCGAACCCGGCGAGCTGAGAAAGAACCAGATCCCTGACTAGCAGACAAGCGGATTGGCTGGGAGCCCAAACCAGGTAGGTATTATAGTGTTTGTTGGTGTCGTTTTCGTCGTTGATCCTTCTCTACAGACAAC